CAACTTGAGGTAAGTTTTATTAATGTTGGATGAGTTTTAAAGTTAGAATTAAATTCTACTAACACAAAACACATTTCGTTTTATTCCTAGCTTTAAAGTGGATATTAAAGTGATTAATTTAAGTGATTGTTTAAAGTTGTTTTATATTTTATAAGGGGCAGATATAAGATTTATTTTCTTCTTTCTGCACTCTTTTCATTCAATGTTTTCTTTTTGATTATTTTTTTTTTATTTTGTTTCATTTAAATGAATTAATAAATTAATTAAATTAAATAAAATGTTAAATGGTTTTAAACATCTGCTAAGTTCATGGCATAAACCAACAGACATGTTCCTGTTTTTAGTATTTTACATCACTTTATAATGTAGCTGTTTATGTTTTTAATATATATAATTTTCAAATCATGTTTTTTAAAATCATGTCTACTGTTGTACTGATAAATATCTCCTGGAGGGTAAACTATATCTTGACTGCAAGTATCAAGCTGCGAAATCCTTCGTTTTCTACAACTGATAATGGTTGGTCATTAATTATGATGAAGTTTAGCAACTTCTCTGTAAACATTTGAGCTCCGTGGTTTCAGCGACATCTACTTCTTGTTCAATCCGAAGCAAGCAGCCTGATTTGGGGCAGCCGCGCTCAGTCTCCTGCCTCCTCCGAGATGGGCAGACTGAGCGGGGCAAATTGGACGCGGCTGGCCGGTATCGAGTCGCCTCTTTCGCTTGAGCAAAGAGCAGCGCCCCACTGAAGCCACGGAGCTCGAATGTCCATCGTAAAACTAACTTTAACGTGGTTTAATGTGGCGCTATGGCTCTGCAGACATTGCACGTTGCTGCATTTCTTTGTGGTGTTTTTAGTGTAAAATACTTCCACACAGCAGACATGTTTAGATGAAAAGTTTGTTAGCCACAGTGCTGCTAACTCAGTCCTCACGTTGTAGCTGGCTACAAACTATGAACTGGATTTCCTGAATGTGAGGCGGGTCTTATTACTCTGGGCTCATGAGACGCGCCGCCGTTAAGGAATTCCATTCCATAGTTTGAAGCCAACTTGCATCATGGATCGAAAATATCGGCAGGAGGCTCGGAAAATCCGATACGTAAATTTTGCTGGTATCGGAGGCCGATACCGATACTGGATCGGATCGGCCCCATCCCTAGTTCTGCTTCAATAGTGTACAGAATACATGTATCCTTACTGACTGGCTGTGGTGACTTTTTAGTATCTGATGTTGTACAATATAACTAATTATTAGGAATGACTGTCGTATGTAGGCCTGTCATGATAACAAATTTTGCTGGGCAATTAATTGTCTCAGAAATTATTGCGAAAAACAATATTGTTTGAAATTTGACAATAATTAGTAACTATTGTCAAATTAAAGAAGAAATGTTTAATTTGTTTTGCATGTAGTACCTTTTTTCGACCACTGCATGGCAGTATAAGACTGTTTGAACTGAAAGATGGATAGTGAGGAAGCAAGCGGCGTGTCTCTTTTAAGAAAAATGGGAGGGAGGCCCCTTGATGTGACATGTACTGTCTCTCTTCGGTTCTCAAAATGGCGGACACTGATTGTGTTTTGAGCTCTAGTATAGTATAGCCAGAGCCCTATAAAGAGCGAGTTGCGACACTCATTGAACTCGCCAATACATGGTCACGTGGTTCATGCAGCTCCCAATAGTTCCAAACAGTTAATCTCTGTCAGTCAGTTTGAGCGGCTGCTGGCGCAACATAACACAAAAATGGACTTTTCTTACTTTACCGGACGTCTTTCAGTAATTATTGAGCAGTAACGAACTGATTACTTAACCGATTACTGATTATTTCACAGACTATGCATTTTATCAAAGCATTTTTAGAAGCGGCTGATACATTTATCATTAAATTTTAGAAGGAAACGAGACTGCAAACACATATTTGTTAGAAAAAAAAATGTATATGCAATACAATGATCAATATAGTCATGTCAGTGTTTTATAACGTTACACACGATAAATAAAAGATCAGAGTAACACCTGTTATAATGCTATTTCTGATGTTCTCTGCATGAGAATGCTCCACCTTGTCCTCCATGCAGTTCAGATCTGCTCCAGCTTACCTTAGATCATCTGGATGAATTCTTGATTTCTATAGAAGATATTAATTCAACCTTTATTTAAACAGGTTCGTCCCATTGAGCCACGAGGACTCATTTACAAGAGAGACCTGAATATAATTGTTCTATTTGTCATTTTTTTATGGCAACCAAGTACCTGGATAACTGAGTTTATTGTAGCCTGACAACTATTGTAAAATTGTAATTCATTGATTAAAATGTTAATTTAAATGAAACTGTTTCTAGTTAAAATCATAACAGATGACAAAATAAGTGTTAATTGTGCAAAAATAAATTTCCAAACAATTTATTATAAAATATGTAAAATGTAAAACAAGCTTTAATAAAGTACTTTTACTGCCAATGATCTCAAGTCAGCAGGAGCATCATCATCATCATCACAACAACACAAAGTGAGAGCTGTAAATTTAATCTGCACAAACATTTTCAATCAGGGCTCAAAATGTTTAACTGTCAAAGAAATGTGCAAGAAAATAAACTAATGTCGCTCTACAGGCACATTTAGAGAGAGGACAGTTTACAGAGACACAGTCAGGACGTGTGAGACTGAAGGAGGTTCAACCATTTGTTCATGGACCAGAACCAAATGAGAAGAACAGCAGAACTTCCACTGCATGTTGATCCATTGACCAGTGATCTGACCAGTGATCACACATGTTGTTCTAAATAAAACTTTGGTACGAACAGTGTTAAATAAGACATGTCATGTTTTTTATTGAACAATAATCTTCATTCTAACAGTGACGTTGTAATTTCAGAGACTGAGGAAGGAAGAAACAGAAATGAGGCGAGTGAGATGAGGGAAAGATGAAAATGTGTCCTCAGAGGACAGGGACATGTCAGGATCTGATGATCCAGGATCAACAGGACCAGGAGGATGAATCAACAGGCAGTCAGGGAACAGAGATGAACAACCTGAGGGAACAATTAGAACACAAAAAAATACATAAGCAGGACAGAAGAAACTCAAAGACAAGAAAATTAACGCAGTCCTGCGAAGAAAAATGTTAACAATGGAAAATAAATTGACATATTTTTACAAAAGATCAGATGAATACAACTGGCATGAAGAATAACTTCCCAGCTCCATCTCAATGTACCTGTGATAGTTTAATAAGTTTTTTGTTACCGTTCTACAGTTTATTGATGCTGATATATTCTTGGTAATAATTCTTATTTCTTGTTCTGTCTTGAAAGAGTCTCATCTCAACTTGACCCATGATTACCATACGCTAAAACGAATAATATAAAGCTAATGTAATTTAACAGTCCTGCAGTAAATACCAACTTTGTGAAGGTTATGGTGTTAAAGTAATTTTATTCAAACATCTTGATTAAGCTGTTATTGATTTGGAAGACAGAAAATGAGATCTTGTACCTTTGTGATACTTTGAATGCAACATTCAGTTCATGAAGTCATTCTCCTGTGGTTTACCTGGAAAACATTTAAAAATTGAATCATCTCCACAATCACGTTTTTCTTTAATGATAATGTCACAATTTATGCTGCAGTCTTTGACAAATGATGTATAACTTTAAATTACGTGAATCTTATGTTGTCATCATTTTTGTTGAAATCGGGTCTCTCTTGTAAATGAGTCCTCGAGGCTCAATGGGATTTACCTGTCTAAATAAAGATTGAATGAATCTCTCAGAAAAAAAGGCCAAATATTTTCTAGTTGAGTGCAGTAACTGGAATTACCATAAATTTAAAAAAGACCACCTTTCAAAATTTAAGCAGTAATAGATATTTTAAAACACTGAAGAAATAGACCCGTTTAAACCATCATGTTGGCAGAGCAGCTGCAGTTAAAACACAACTAGCAATTTAACATGTTTAATTTAACATGTTTCATTAACTAAAACTGGCGACATGAAGTATTAATGTTGATAAATTGTGGTACAGAACAGTCAGATAACGCTTCACAATGGCAAAAAAAGTGTTGTATGTTCATCAACTTACCGGAAAAACACGGAGAATGAACTACGTTCAATGCTGAACCCGCTGCTGTTTGGAACTCTTTGCCGCTGCATGACCCACGTGACTTCCGCATTCCATTCTTTCTATGGGAGTCTATGGGAGTGTTGCAACTCTCTCTTTATAGGGCTCTGAGTATAGCATAGTGTTTGTCAACAATTTTTCAGCTTCTTTTTGCAGAGAAAAACAACATTTTAGACCAAGGCACGAGTTTCAACTGTGAATTTTGGAGCTTCGACGAGACGGAGGTTTTTTCCCCAAAGTCGGCCTGTTAGCTTAGCTTGTAGCTTAGCTTCTCAGCTTAGCTGCTTTTAACGATCCAAAAACGCAATTTTGGACAGTTAAAATGGATTTTAAAGAGAAAAGAGAAAGGGCACCAGTGAAGAGCACCGGAGTTGAGTTTTAAGTCATCCACTGTCTTCAGTAGAAACAGAGAGAAATGAAGAAGCAATAACGCCGATAAACAAAAATGAGGTTGATAATTTTCATTTATCATGTGATTAATTGATTTATTCTTTATCGTGACCGGTCTAGTCGTATGCATGTACCGTAGACTAAAATAAACTGAAATATCTCCTGGAATTTCAGGATTTGATCTTGGAAAAATCATGGACAACTTGTGAAATGAAAGGCTGGCCCTGACTTTGTCTTGGCTGTGTTCAGGTTAGCTGTCAGTCTAGTCAGATTTAAACTTATTTCTCCAAACAAGTTGCTCAAAAGATGTCAAACAGAGAAGATATTAGTTGATCATAAATTAACTATTCCTTTAATGTTTGTATTGCAGTCAACAAAAAGCCAAAAACACAGAGAACCACTTGTAAAACCTGACTGTTTATAAAGAGGACTTGGTCTTTGTTCAGGTGTAGAACTGATCTGTCACCCCTGATGTTTGGTCCACTTCCCAGGAGTACATGGACCCGATGAACGAGCACAATGCTCTGAACGAGGCCAAGCAGATGATCGCCGTTGCCGACGAGAACCAGAACCGTCAGCTGGAGCTGGAGGAGATTCTCCGGTATAGTGAATACTTCACAGGCAGCAAGCTCATGGATTACGCCAGAAACGTTCACGAGGAGTTCTAAAGACAGAAACCCTCTCCGTCCTCCACCTCAACCTCCTACATCTGCTTCAGGGACAAGCCTGGAGGAGGGAGAGAGCCACGTGATAACATGTTCTAGTGTGTAAATCTGTGTTTAAAACCCCTGCAGCCTCCAGATGTTGGACTGATCCTTTAGCTTCCAACTGTCACAGCTAACACAGCCTGCTTTCTGTGTGCCGCTGGACTGTTTGCTGCAGATATGAGGTGCTGCATCTCTTCCAGATGGTTTTCTTGTTTTGTGGAATGTATGTATATGAGAAATTTTAGCCCCAACATTTCTTTTTGTTGCTGGTGCACCTCTTTAGCCAGCATACCTGTGTACAGTGTAAATATTCACATTTGACACACCTTGGTCTGTTCTAGAGTGAAGTGCTGCTGAGAGGTGCAGCACAGATGTGTGTGTTCAGATAAAAGACTGGTTTCTAAAGGTGAATTTAATTGCACAGTTAGAATTGGTAATGCTTCTAAAAACTGCAGCAGTACCATAAAGCCATCTTACATTATGTATCCCTTGATTTAAACATTAGGAAAAGAGAATAATATATTGATGTATTTAGATGAACTCGTCATTCCTGGATCATCTGACTGAAGCTTTGTGTTTGAGTCGCCACATCAACCGGTCTCCTTCTTGCTTTTATTCACGTAGAAGACCAATAAAATTATTTATGACCATTTTTGTTTTTATTTGAAACGTCATGCTCTTCAGAGCAGGTGTCCTTGTGTCATCCTAATTGTTGAAATGAATGAATGAATAATGAAAATGAAGTTCTGTCCACTCCTGGGTCTTACTGCAGTTTTAGGTAACTGTTTGACATCCTGCTGCTGCCTCCGCTGTCTGGATGTAAAACAAGAACTAAAACAGGCTTTACAAAATGTACTATGAAATACAGGTTCTTCTCAATAAATAAGCAAATTGTGATAAAGGTCATTATTTTCCATAATGTAATGATAAAAATGAAACTTTCATATATTTCAGATTCATTGCACACCAACTGAAATATTTCAGGTCTTTAATTGTTTTAATACTGATGATTATGGCATACAGCTCATGAAAACCCAAAATGCCTGTCCAAAAAATTAGCATATTTCATCCCACCAATGAAAGACAAGTGCTTTTAATACGAAAAACGCCAACCTTCAAATAATCATGTTCAGTTATGCACTCAATACTTGGTCGGGAATCCTTTTGCATGAATGACTGCTTCAATGCGGCGTGGCATGGAGGCAATCAGACTGTGGCACTGCTGAGGTGTTATGGAGGCCCAGGATGCTTCGATAGCAGCCTTAAGCTCATCCAGAGTGTTGGGTCTTGCGTCTCTCAACTTTCTCTTCACAATATCCCACAGGTTCTCTATGGGGTTCAGGTCAGGAGAGTTGGCAGGCCAATTGAGCACAGTAATACCATGGTCAGTAAACCATTTACCAGTGGTTTTGGCACTGTGAGCAGGTGCCAGGTCGTGCTGAAAAATGAAATCTTCATCTCCATGAAGCTTTTCAGCAGATGGAAGCATGAAGTGCTCCAAAATCTCCTGATATCTAGCTGCATTGACCCTGTCCTTGATAAAACACAGTGGACCAACACCAGCAGCTGACATGGCACTCCAGACCATCACTGACTGTGGGTGCTTCACACTGGACTTCTGGCATTTTGGCATTTCCTTCTCCCCAGTCTTCCTCCAGACTCTGGCACCTTGATTTCCGAATGACATGCAAAATTTGCTTTCATCCGAAAAAAGTACTTTGGACCACTGAGCAACAGTCCAGTGCTGCTTCTCTGTAGCCCAGGTCAGGCGCTTCTGCCGCTGTTTCTGGTTTAAAAGTGGCTTGACCTGGGGAATGCGGCACCTGTAGCCCATTTCCTGCACACGCCTGTGCATGGTGGCTCTGGATGTTTCTACTCCAGACTCAGTCCACTGCTTCCGCAGGTCCCCCAAGGCCTGGAATTGGCCCTTCACAATCCTCCTCAGGGTCCGGTCACCTCTTCTCGTTGTGCAGCGTTTTCTGCCACACTTTTCCCTTCCCACAGACTTCCCACTGAGGTGTCTTGATACAGCACTCTGGGAACAGCCTATTCGTTCAGCAATTTCTTTCTGTGTCTTACCCTCTTGCTTGAGGGTGTCAATGATGGCCTTCTGGACAGCAGTCAGGTCGGCAGTCTTACCCATGATTGCGTTTTTGAGTAATGAACAAGGCTGGGAGATTTTAAAAGCCTCGGGAATCTTTTGCAGGTGTTTAGAGTTACGTCGTTGATTCAGATGGTTAGGTTAATAGCTTGTTTAGAGAACCTTTCTATGATATGCTAATTTTTTGGGACAGGCATTTTGGGTTTTCATGAGCTGTATGCCATAATCATCAGTATTAAAACAATTAAAGACCTGAAATATTTCAGTTGGTGTGCAACGAATCAGAAATATATGAAAGTTTCATTTTTATCATTGCATTATGGAAAATAATTACCTTTATCACAATATGCTAATTTTTTGAGAAGGACCTGTATATACAGATAAATATTTCATACCAACTGAAAAGCACCTGAATAATTTTTATATATTTTGATGATTAACTTGCATTATTAAGGGCATTGGTGCAACCTTATTACTATTTGGTTATTATATTTCCAATAAAAGTTTTTAGTCACCATTTCTGCAGGTTTAAACATATACAGGATAGCATATAGTGTAAAAAGCTATAAAAACTTCCCCAAAGACTTGGGTGAAACAAATGAGAAAATCCAGCTCAGACTGAATATCTGTAGCTCGGATGTACTCCACAGTAAAAAAAAAAAAAAAAATCAAATAAAAGGTTAAATGGGTCATGGGAGTTGAACTACAGCAATCCTTGTATGGGTGGTGGGGAACACCGTGGACAGGTCTCCAGTCCATCACAGAAACAACCATTCACACACCTAAGGACAGTGTGGAGTTCTCATTTAGCTTAAACTTGCATGTTTTTGGTTTGTGGAGGGAAACGAGTGCCCAGAGAAAACCCACACGTGCATGGAGTGAACATATAAAGATTGTTGGAGATGGGCACAGCTGCCCCGCAACCCAGAAAAGCATGTAAAAGAAAATGGATGGAAAGTTGGAGTTTACCCATTTAAACTGGCATTTTTATTTATTTATTTTTGGAGCTTTATCTACAAAAAATGTTTAACCTGGAGTGACTATGTCACACACTTTAGGGTTGTCTAAACTTTTTCCAAATAAATTCATTTTTTCACAAATTTTACACAGTTTAGACATCACAACAATGATGTCCTCTTTCACAGTTTCTCTGCTTGAGGACTTCGTTCCCTCCCAAATCACCACTAGAGGGTGCTATGGTCATGTGACATGATTCACTGCAAGCAAGGTCATTAACAAAACAGTCAAGCATCTATACTTGGCATTTTGACTAAATAGCTCTGAGTAAGGGCTATGTAAAAAATGTTGAAAAAATAAAATGTGTGTAATAAAACCGGACCTGGTGCCAGACCTAACCCCCCCCCACACCCCCCCACACCCCAAGATTACAACACTGTGTAAATCTTAAAAAGTTTAATCTGGTCCTCTGGACATTCAAAAAAACCAAACAAAGAAATTATAGAAACGTTTCGTCTTTCATCCGAAAGACTTCTTCAGTCTGAGGTGCTGTGTTCAGCTCAGTCGTATAAATAGCACCCTCTTATAGTGGCTCAACCAGTTTGCTGCTGACAGCCAAAACCAGCTGCTCACATGTTCAAGGAGGACCATCAGCCTAACGATGGATTGTTGGCACACTGATGGCTGTTTGCCATTCACAGGGGGCTGAGTGATACTAGCAATAACAGCATTGTAAGAGGGGGACAGTTGAACACGGAGGCCTCCACCCGTTTAATGGTGGACAATTTATTTTCACAAAGATGGCCTCCTTTACTCCTCTCTCAAACCATTGTTCCTCTCTATCAAGGATGTGAACATCTTCATCCCTGAAAGAGTGACCGCTGGCCTGGAGATGAGTGTAGACCACAGAGTCCTGGCCTTATAATGTTGATATTCTGTGCTGGGCCATCCTTTTGGCCAGTGGCTGTTTAGTTTCCCCGATGTAAGACTGATCACCCTACTGACACTGAACAGCGTACACAATATTACCCTGTTTGTGCCGGGGGACTGGATCTTTGGGATGAACCAGTCTTTGCCGTAATGTCCAGAGGACCAGACTAAACTTTTGTAGATTTTTCTGCCTGCATTATTGAGCATGCATCAGGATACGGTGTAAATAAGTTGAACCTATGGAATGTATTGATTCAAGACAACCAGCAGAGGGTGCTGTAGGCGATTAAACTGGATTTATAGAGGTGGTAAATACTATAAAGATTATTAAGATTTCAGTCAGCTGAGAAACAGACAGCAACTGTATTATGCACGCACGCACACACACACACACACACACACACACACACATTACAGATGCTTCTGACGACCTTGCTACCATGAAGGAGACAATGTCATGTCTCCATGGTGAGTGTCAAGGATTATTAATATATAGACCATATTGTTCAAAACCTTTGCATAAATGTAACTTAACTATTTTAAATTTTGGGTTTGTTCATGTAGAACTATCAGCAATGTTCCACCTGATGCTGGAGTGTGTGCAAATCAAAGCCCTCAACTCATTCTCCCACTCATCTGATGGGTATATTCAATTAAATTCAATTCAAAAATACTTTATTAATCCCAAAGGGAAATTATTTGTTGTTGTAACTCATTATCCTCATTTCATTAAGAAATGGTATAGATACTGATGGCTGTAGACAGGAAGGATCTCTTCTAAAGGTCCATCCCACAGTGGATCCTAAGAAACTGGCTGCAGATGGCGTCCGATCCGTCCACCCAGACTCGGATGGCCCCTTGGCTCCCCCGGTCTGCAGGACCACCCAAACGCCGGGCAGAACTCCTCCCAGAGTGATGGTCACTCCTCCCAGCAGCCTGCCGAGCTCCCCGTCGCTGCGGACAGCCAACTGCAGTTACCGAGGGACAGCCCTGTCCCTCCGCCGCCATGAGCCATGTCTCCTGCTAGCCCCAGGATCCCAGTGGCCAGGCACTCAAGCACAGCCGGCAGGTAGATGAGAATGCGTCCACAGAACATCCTTTTCAACTCATTTGAGATTTGGGGCTGTAGTTGAGATATTATTTGAGCTTTTGAGATGTTAATCAGCTGCTGTTGGTTGTAGAAAACTGCCTTGTTGCCATGGTTACGCATAATAAATGTTCAAAACTAAAAAAGTTTCAGTAAAAATCCTTCCAGCTGCACAGCATCTGATACCAGAGGAAACAATCATCCAAAAAATGTGATTTACATTCAGAAAAAGAGGAATTAAAGTTTCCAAAAGCAAAATCTCACAAGGAAAGTAACAGGGCTACTCCAACATGCAGCCACCTTGAGCGGCGCAATTCATTATATGTGAAGATCATTGTGTCACCTGGCAGTGAATTTGAAGTGGTAAGTTGTAGATGAAATTAAGTTGTTGTTGGTGAGTTGTTGTAGATTTAATGGCCTGCTTTTTTCTTTTTTTCCTCTCGCAGCACTGCTTACCTGGGAGTACTGTTGGAATTCCAAAGAGGGCTTTTCAGCGGCTCAGTCGATCCCAGATGACAATTTTTGCCCAGGAATTGGCGAAAATACCAGCATGCCAGCATG